TTTCCTTTGACACAAATTAGTCTCCAGCACCTTTTGCTCCTTTCAGCGTGGATTATGTGTTTAACCCCTTCATATTTTTGTATCAAAATCTGTCTTTCTGCTGCCAGCAGACCAGGCCATGCTTGTTATTGGTCAGATGTTGCCAACACGACCACTTTCATGAAAGCACTCATAGCTGGATTGGGAAACCCTGGATTGACTTATTGAGTTGATAACCACCTTTGTGTGACCACTTACCCTGATTGCGGTCGTTAGCGTAAGTGGACCCAGATAACGAGAAGATTTCCTGCATATGTTTAACTTGCTTTATCGTACAGGCCACTAGATGAACAAGGCGTCCAATATTATGTGATTCAAACAAGTCGTGTTACTACAAAATGTGTTTGTAATCAACTGCACAGTGACTCTCGGCAGCAATTTCTGATCGATACTGTCACAGCTAAGGTTTCCTTAGATTTAGATACCGAATTAGTTATTTATATGTAGTTAGAACATATTGATGCTGTAAATGGAAAGCAAACCTGTGTTAAACAACAGTATACAATGTAAATGCTTCATTGTGAGTACAGGTAATTATTTAAGACTTTCATGGTACCTGCTAAGGCTGGGCCATATCATACCGTACGTATCACAGTAATGTTAGGCAATGATAAGAAAATGAAATATCACGATATAATATGAGTAAAACGTGCATGCGCAGTGCCTTTGTTTTCATACGTACATGGCGGAAAAAGCATGGCGGAGAATGAGAAGGGCGAAAGTGGATCGTTGAATGAAACGGATGAACCAGAATTGGTTTGTAAAAATGCTGCAACTTCATTGGTGTGGTACCGGTTTGGCTTTCATCCATCTGATACACAACAAAGCACTATTTTTGCTAGAGCATGCTAGCGGGCCGTCGTTATTACCGTGTTTTTCGGAAAATAAGGCACACTTAAAATCAATCCTTTGATTTTTCTGAAAAATCGACAGTACCCCTTATAATCCGGCGCGCCTTATGCATGAATTCTGGTTGTGTTTACTGACCTCGAAACGATTTTATGTGGTACACGGCGCTCGAAAATCTGTCAAAAATGTTTTAGTACGACTTTCGTAAGCTATGAAGCTGCACCGCTTGATGGATTGTTGGAGCATTACGGCTATCGTAGGCAGGAGCCTCGCTGAGTGATACGTACTGTGCTTCAACATAATATTACCGTATTGTGTGTGTATAACCTCTTTTTAAGTTTTGTGGATATTTTACATGGTTATGCTGAAGATATGTCGGCCAATTTCCACTGGAAATGCCTTTTGGTTAAACTGTCAGCAAGGAATTTGCATTTGCACTGTTAAATTTTTATATAACTTTAATGCACAAAAAAACCAGCTGGTTGTTTAAGTGAAAATACATTGATGGGTTTTTTTGCACTAATAAAGTTGTGGAGTTGTAAAGTATTTTGTCTAGGGTCAATTATATTGTTATCGCAAATTTTCAAATGTATATCGCGATAAATATTTTTGGCCATATTGCCCTGCTCTATACAATAAATAGCTTGGTGCTAATCAGAAATAGCTGCAGATCAAATTTAGTCCATTTCTAAGCCAGATGTTTCGTCTCTATGACAGAAAGCATCTCGGGTGTCAGGCGTTGTGGAGTGGAGGCGAGGAAGAAGGAACCCAAACGCAGGACTCGCAGGTAGGTGAAGCTGGGTGATTTATTGATGATGGAGTGAACACACAGAACAGAGGAAGGACATGGCTGGCTGGATGACTGACTGAATGAATGAACGAAGGACGGACTGACTGACTGGCTGACCGAACACTGGCGGAAACAACAACATAACCTAAACATCAATGACACGACAGAGAACGAGTAGAAACAGAAGACTTAAATACACAGACTGATGAGGATGATAATGAGAGACCGGTGAGTACACAGCTGAACATAATCTGGCTAACGGCACGAGACGAGGTGACACAGGAACAAACAGGAAGTGGCAAAATAAACTGAACATGAACAAAACGGAAAGCACTGGGTCACCGACCCAGGAACCCTGACATCGGGTTTAAAACAAAAACGTGTTTTTCCTTTAGCCCACTGTTTGAAGCATCTTTTGTTTCACAGGAGTACAGCACTTTTTCTGTAGTGTCTCTGAAGCATCTCTTGTTTTACATTAATCTTGTCTTCTGGAGTTTCTTTACAGTAATGGGGGTTTATTGTTCTTTCAGCTTATGAAGTGTCTCCTGCCATTTGTTTACAACGTTGTTCTTTGAAAAACCCAAAGGAAAAAAAACGTTATTGTTTGTATGTACATGCTGCAGGAAAAATGTAATTCTACCTTTGTAGATCAATAAAAACCATTGTATTCTAATGTATTCCACTCACTATTCTAATCCATCCTTTCCCATTAGCAAACATATGGGCATGCTGACTGCAATGGCTGTTATGTAATTAATAGTCATGGCGGTGCAATTAAAATTGGGAGACTTTATGCGCCTGCTGATTAAGATATTTAAAGCATGAAGTACCCAAGGCTCTTATTTTTGTGCAAGTTTCTGCTGCGTATCTTCTTGTTTATACTCGTTCGTCTTTTGTTTCCTCGAGCAAATGTGTATTTGTGTGAGAAATGAGTGCTGCCTCTGTGTTTATGAGTGAAGCAAGCGTATGTATGCGGCGGGGAACAGTTTTTAACACTTATCCTTGACTTTTCCTTTACCCGCGTGCAATTAATTACTGCCCGGAATAACGGCCCTGGGATCAGCTGCTGCTGCACTAATGAAAACACATCAGTGTAAATGCAAGGCCAGCCGGAGTGTTGTCGTGCAGCGCTTCGAGACCCTGCACCGCCATCCATTTGCAATGACAATCATTATCGCATGAAAGCAGTGGTCTCCAACTCTATTCCAGAGGGATTGTGTGTGTTCACAGTCCCACAGTAATCCATATTCACTTTCTTAATTGGCTCAATTAGTTCACTCAGATACTGTATGAATTTTACACTCTGCCTGTCCCCAGATAAAGTCCAGTTAACGTATTACTGGGCAGAGGTTACAAATTGGGTTCCCAGTGGTAAGGCTTAATACGCAGAGGATTTAAAGTCTTTTAGGTGGTTGAGTGAGCTAAAAACTGTATTGCTTACACTGTAATGAGGGAACGCAAGCATCTTGGCCTCACCGTTTAATCTCATGGGAGTCGCATACCCATGGGAATTCACACGCAGAAGCACACTCACATGACATATCAAACAATGATAACAACACAATGGGAGGTAAATATGCTTATGATAACATTGATGGAGACCCTTTGATTCACTTAACATCCATTCTGTGGAGAATATATATCTTTTCAAACCTCATGCTCACACACACACAACCACAATAAGCCTTTATCAAGTCAGTGTTGGTGTGTGGATGAAGTTAGACATGTTAAACGGTAAAGCTTAATGTTTATTCTCGTTTAATGTCTGAGTAAGTTACTGCACGGTCGGGAAATGGGAAACAAATGAGGTCGTTTATCGATAACTTCAAATCACGGTGATATGCACTCATCTAACCGTAACTGTCGTCCGCCTACCCGAACTTTACCCCAACCTTAAAACATGACATCACAGGCTTGCTTTTTGCCCTTTGTGTTGAGTACGCACATTATGTCCCCACAACATGAGTAAAATGTCACGGGGGCTCGTGCACACACCACGACGTCAGACAAATGAGGCAGTTGCATTACTGTCTGTGTAGCGTATGGAGGGCGTGTATCGATCTGGAGCAGAAGCTCGTTCATCAGCGTGGTTAAGCAAAATACCATTAAGGTTCAGGAGAAATTGTGTACACACATGGCCTGCAACCCCACACAAGCTTTTTATGCGTTTCTTTGTCAGAAACAAACCGCTGCTCAAACTGCTTTCCCATTTCCCGTTCCTTTAGCCCTGTTTTAAGGCTCCACAAAACCAAATCTGCGGGACGGCGGTGGTGCGGCTCTGGAGAACGTCGCGTATTTCTTCGACCGTGCTGCTTGTGGGGTCTGACAGGTGAACTGGGAACGGCTGGGTGATTCAGCACTACAGGGTCAGGATCTATGATAATGCACCGCAGGAAACATTTCCATAAAATGAGCCCAGTACATCTTCTTTTGAGGCCCTCTTGAGGAATGAAGATGAGGACACACAGATAAAGAGAGGTGAAAGAAATAAGATCAAGGGAGATTTCGAGAATGGGGAAGCGAGCATAAAGGAGTAGGATGGAGGAGAGCTCTGACGATGGTAATAATGAGAGAGAAAATTTAATGGGAAACACAAAGAAGTGAGAGAGACAGAGGTGATGTTAGTGCAGTGCACCCAGAAGTTTGTGCTCCCTCTGCAGTGCTTGTGAACCCTCCTTGCTGTGGTGAGCACTTGCGCTTTCATATCAGCCCCCTGCTGCTACTGTAAAAAGAGACAATAGGGAGCAAGATTTTTTCTTTTTTTTTGTGCGTATGTACTTACGTGTTTGTGTGTATATGTGACAGCACGTCTGCAGCACTTTGTTGGGAATCTAATAACAAATTGTCATGCTGGCTCTTGATTTGTATGGGTAAAAAGAAGCCATAATGAGCCCCATAATGCGAGCTATTTGGCGTGCCATTCAAAGCAAGCTGCCATGTCTGTCAATCAGGGGAACTTTCAAGTCTCTCCATGACAAGCCTCGCTTTTGTCCTGAAGTCTTGAATAATAAAGTGACAATGAAATGACAAGACGTGCGCACACACCCACCTCATCTGTGAAACAATCAGGATTCTGTGGCGTCTTGCAGCGGGGAAAACGTCTGGACTGAGTGCGTGAATATTTTCACGTCCGCTGCTGCTTGAGCTGGTTCCACATGGCACACGCGTGTGAAATTGGTGAGTAGATTACACGCGCGGTCTGTGATATACCAGCGGCTGATCGATACTGATCAAACATGGCTGATAATGTGCGGATTGAGTCCATTATTTTTGCTTAAACATGACACAGCTGAGTCATCACATTAGAGAGAATTTGTATTTATTAATCAGAGCCGTTATAAAAGACTATACAGTGTAACATCTATATGATTTTCCATCTGATTCTATTTAAACATCCAGTAATTTTACAAAAAAAGGCAACAGCAGTACGTAACACTTTATCATACAACTTACATCTATTCAGTTTTCATAATTAATACCCGGTGACAAGAACCCATTCTCCCTTTAAATGCACATGAGCTAATAATGTTATAAATGCTCACCCCATTGATACATAATTGAAGTTTAGCTCGCGTTTGGCCCAACACTCAGCTAAGCGATCAAGGAACCAATACAATGCCTCACTACCTTCTGTCAATACACTTGGTCTGACCTATTGGCTGAGGTGGGGAGGGGGAGCTGATCCATTGCGTTGACAGCCCACCCTCCTTCTCTCATGCTCTCTCATTAGATCCACTCTATTAAACTCCTTATGCATCTGTCTGTACGCTCCTGGTTGGGGGCTCGGAAACAATCGGAGAGCCCTGCTGGGGGTCCTGCACTCCACTCTAACCGAGGAACTGAGAGAAAGTGCTGAAATGCACCGTGTTTACAATCTGTCGAGGACACTTGAAGGTTATTTGTAGAAAATGTCTGAGTAGACGCAAGGCGCTTGTGTGTTCTTGTGCATCTGAGCGGCATTCTGTAACATACTTCATATCAACAAAGTAAAAAGTAATGAATAATTCTTAGGTGGTGCTGGAGGATTAGTTTAGTATTTTGGGAAGTGCTCTGTGCTGCTTTTTGGCAGAGAGTTAGATGAAGAGATCGATACTAGAAACTGTAGCCAGCAGCCAGTTCGTTTAGCTTAACACAAAGACCGAAAACAGAAAGAACATCAAGCTCGGCTCTCTCCAAAAGTAACAAAATCTCCCTACCAACATTTCTACAGCTCACAATTTTTTTTCTCATACAAAAACAACAGTGAAGTATTTTTTCCCTGAGCTAGAACCAGTAACTTAAGGCAAAAAAGAAGAAGAAGGTATTGATATCATACTCTGCTCCAGAAAGCAACAAAGCATTTTCCCTAAAAACGGTGTCTGTTGGATCATGTTGCTGTTTGCATATGGGTGTGTTCATATTTGAGAGATGACATCACATGACTCTGGTGAATGTTGACACTGTATTTGAGTTGTGTTTGCACTGTGCAAGGTGTGTGTGTGTGTGTGTGTGTGTGTGTGAGAGAGAGAGAGAGAGAGAGAGAGAGAGAGGCATCATTCGGGGGTTGAGTTCAGGCGAATGGGACTGTGTGTCACGTGGGAGGGGTCAGGTACGGCTGCAGTGGTCACTCCCATCTTCTTAAGGCTGCGCTCATCTGTCACAGAGATGGAGCGAGAAAACGCAGGACGAGGGACGAGGCCTGAATCTGAGACACACAGATACATCGACTTTTACATGCGGCAAGAAAGAAGTTAAAGAGAGGAAAAAAAATCAGAAGGGAAAAGGGAAAACTGTGAGCGTATTTAGGATCTTAAATTTCTGCTACTTGAATCTCCCCTGCTGTCATTCAGCTCACAGACTTGCCTTTTCATTCAATTGACTAGAGTAAATGACATCAGTTTACTTTTATTACACCAGATGAATGAAATGAAAACAATTCTTCAGTCTGTGCAGATCTGCATGCAGTGGCAGCTTTCAGCCTGTAGGGGGGCCACGGCAGTGGAGCAGGCTGCAGCAGGTTGAGCAATGACTGCAGATTTGTTGCAGCTTGATGTGTCTCATCATAACGCACAGAGGGAGAGAAGGAGAGAGAGCGCAGGCAGCAAGATGCTACAGGCCATATTGGGAATTTTACCTTTGATATCTCCCACAGCCAACCGAGGTTCACCAGACTAACCAGCAGGTGGCAGGTTGACCCCACACACACACACACACACACACACACACACACACACACCACACACACACATTCGCGCACACACACACGTACCCACACCATATGCCCAGACACATACCCCCACCAGGTCTGACATTTGCAGCTAAGTGCTGCAATGG